TACATACAGAATTGCTTCTAGCGCCTCTCGCTACTAATGTATGCCAAACCATTCGGTGGAATGATTCTTTCTCAACTTGAGTATTTTATACATATGCGAACACAAAAAAAAAAATGCATTTTAGCAGTTATAAATTTATTGCGAGTAATTAATCTTCAACGTGTAAACCTCCACCCGGCTGCAGGAGAAATAATGCCCGAAAATTTAACAATATATCTTAATGCTATTTTGTAAGAAAAGTTTCCTCCGAAAACAATGGGCGAATGGGAGGTTGGGAAGGGGGAGGGAAACTTTGCAACTAACATCCATTATTCTTCAATAAAATCTGCAGCCAGCAACTTGTTTCCCTTTATTAGTCAAAAACTTATAGAGTGAACCCTGGTATGTGCAAAGAATTTAAACAATGGCAATATTTTATGTTTCCGCATGTTTTTCATTCCACAACAGAACAAAGGCAAAATAATCCTGTACTCACAAGCAAAAAAAAAACAGAACTGAACTGAACTGAAAATGCCACTATTCACCGCATAATGGGTGGTTATTATGCAAAGTAATTTTCATTATATGCATTACATATATACGAGTAGGTGTGTAGTTCAGGAACTTTAGTATGATGATAAACTTTGTAGTTCTAAGAAACAGACGAAAGTTATGTGTAGTGTTGTTTGCAAGGAGAATATGTTCGCAGAGACATGAGATCGAATTCAGTCATGGTGTACTTACACTGTGCCACAAAATCTAGCAAATTATGAAAGTAGAGCTAAGGCTAGAAGACAAGTCCATCTGCGTTTTTAAAATAGCGTAAAAAGACAAAGCAAGTTCCCTCCTCTTCCATATTTTGTATACCCTCCACCATTCTATGGAGGGTATACTAACATTGCCATTCCGTTTGTAACTCCCCGAAATACTCATGTTAGACCCTACAAAGGATCAGCATAAAATTCAATAAATATCAGTGTGTCTGTCTGGTGTAATCACGCTATTTTTCGATCGAATTTAGATAGAAGTCTAAAATTTTGCACACATGTGTATTTGCCAGTAGGCAGGTTATGTTCATAAATAGGCCATGCCAGTACACGTTTTCGTACCCCCATAGAATGGTTACCTTCCAATATTCGGTATTTAAATGATTCTAGGACATTATAGACGGAAATTTATTTTTGAAGCTCGCCAACGAAAAAATGACATATGTAGGCCCACATCTTCGTATATCCCCATATAAGGGTGCCTCCCAATATTTGGTATTTTAATTATATTCGCGGCATTATTAACATCAATCGTTTTGAATTTCGTATTTGAAGTTCGAAATCTGAACTACAGCCTACAGCGGAAAATTGTTTATGCAGATCCACGTCTTCGTATAGCCCACTACAGCATCTCCCTTTATTCCGTGTTTTGATGATATTAGCGAAATTGTTCACCGAAATTGTTTCAAAATTCGTATTTGAAGTTCGGAATCAGTCTATGACAAACACAAAAAAACAAGCAGGTCCTCGTTTTGCTATAGCCCCGCATAACAGGTTTCATTTAAGCGGCATTTTTCAATATTTTTTTTATTTTAAAGTTCCTTTCAAACGCCCTTCCGGGCACAACTTAGCTGTTTTATACCCTCCACCATAGTATGGAAGGTATATTAAGTTCGTCATTCCGTTTGTAACTCATCGAAATACTAATTTTAGACCCAAGAATGTATATATATTCTTGATCAACGTAAAATACACAGACGATTTAGCCCTGCCCGTCCGTCCGTCTATCTGTCCGTCTGTTATAACCACTCTATAGTTAAAACGAATTAAGATAGACAGCTAAAATGTTACACAGGTCAGTATTTTGTATGCAAGCAGATTAAGTTCGAAGATGGGCTATATCGGTGCACCATATCGTATAGCACCCATGTAACGGTACCCCCCACCGATATTCGGTATTTTGATGATTTTGGGGGCCCACTACTTCCACACAAAATGGCAACATTTTCAAATTAATTACTTTATTGCACAGAATGAGAAAAGGTAATCCGATTCTGCTCCCACTTTGCAAATCATATTTCTTGCGTCAGTTCTAAGTCAGGTGCAAAAATGGATAATATCGGTCCACTCCATGAAGTGCCTCCCCCACAAAGGGTCAACATTTTCAATAATTACAACTCTCATAAAATATTATATAAGAGTCCGATCGGTCCACTCCATGAATGTGCCTTCGCCACAAAAGGACAACGTTTTTAATATTTACCACTCTCATAAAATTTTATATAAGAGTCCGATTATCTTCAAATTTCAAACATCCAAATATTTTTATCAACCCAAGATCTGGTGTTAAGATGGAATAAATCGGTCCACTGCCTCGAGTACCTCCCCTACAAAAGGTCGCAGTGTTGAATATCCATTATGCTCATAAAATGCGAAATTTACATCCCATTCCATTTAGACTTGACACATCTGAATATTTCTATCAACGTAGGATGTGTTATAAAGATGGTAGAGATCGAACCATTTCTTCTGGTACCTCCCCCACAAAGGGTCAAAGATGTGAATAATCAAAACGTTTATAAAGTCCGAAATGGACATCAGGTTCTCCTAATATTTCACGCATTCCATTATTTCTACTAACATAAGATCTGGTGTTAAGATGGAATATGTCGGTCCACTCCCTCTGGTACCTCCCCCACAAAGGCTCAAAATTTTGAATATCCACGAAGCTCATAGAAAGCAAAATTATCATCCGATTTCATTCAGACTTGGCACATCTTAATATTTACATAAACACAAGATCTGTTATAAAGATGATAGAGATCGGACCATTCATTCCGGTAGCTCCCCTACAATCGGTCAAAGTTTTGAAAAACCAAAATAATCATAAAATCCGAAATAAACATCTGGTTCTCTTCATATTTCAAACATTTCATTATTTTTATTAACTAATTATTAATTATATTAATTAATTATATTAATTATTTTTATTAACGCAATATCTGCTGTACGTCCCCCACAATGGGTTAAAATTTTGAATAATTTTAACTCTTATAAAAATAAGAGAACGGCTCTCTTTAAATTACACACATAAAAAAATTTATTAACCCATAGTCTAGTGTAATGTACTGGTCTACTCTTTCTGGTATTTCCCCCACAAAGGGTCAACATTTTGAGTAATATTTTACACATCCCATTATTTTTACTAACACAAGACCTGCTGTAAAAATGGGATATATTGGTCCACTCTTTCTGGTACCTCTCCCACAAAGGGCCAAAGCTCATAAAATGGAAAATTAACATCCAATTCCATTCGGACTTGGTATATCTCAATATTACCATCAAAAAAAGATCTGTTATAAAGATGGGAGGGATCTGAACATTTTTTCTGGAACATCCCCCACATAGGATTCAAGATTTTGAAAAACCAAACCCTCAAAGAACCCCAAATAAGGATCCAACTCTCTTCAAATTTCACACATACAAACATTTTTGCTAACACAAGATCTTTTGTGAAGATGATATATGTTTGTGAACCCCTTCGGTGTTTTTCAGCTACTTTTTACTACTTTCTTTATCTAAATATTTTTCTCAAGCAGAAACCTCAGAATATTGAATTTATTATTTCGCATAAAAGTTGATATAAATATTCGATTTTCTTGTAATTTTGCCCATACCGATATTTATACCCCAAACCATATAGTTTTAAGGGTATTACGTCTTTGTGCATTTGTTTGTAACATGTAGAAGGAAGCGAGATAGACACATAGTTACTTTTGAGGATCTCCATAGAATTACTTTCTGAGTTGATTTATGCATGTCAGTCCGTCTGTCCATCCGTCTGTCCATGTATTCTTGTGAACAAAGTACAGTTCGCATTTATTGCCCTATCCAGATGAAATTTTGCAAAAATCATTTGTTTGGCCCAAGGACGAACCCTATTGAAATTGGAGATAATCGGTCCAAAATTAAATATAGCTCCCATATATATCTTTGCTCGATTTGCCTTTTATTGTGCACCAGACGTGTAATATCAGTCCGAATATTATGGAATTTTGAACGTACGATCAGATTGGACCTGAAAATAAGAATGCCGAATTTGATGGAAATCGGTTCAGATATGGCTATAGCTCCCATATATATTGTTCATCCGATTTGTTATTTTTGTCCTCCTCAGCCGTAATATGCACTCTGTAGCAACAATATTTGGGGAATATATCAAATACAGTTCAGAAATACCTTTGCTAAATTTTATCGAGATCGGCTCAGATTTTGATATGGCTCCCATATATAACTTCTTCCGATTTACGTTTTATTGTGCACCAAACGTCTAATATTTGCCCAAATGGGATGGAATTTTTCACTTATGACCGAATTGAGTCTAGAAGCTAGCATGTCAAAATTTGGTGAAGATCGGTTCAGATATAGCTTCCATATATATTGTTCACCCGATTTGTTATATTTGTTACCCACAGCCGTAATATGCACTCCGTAACAATGATATTCAAGGAAATATATGAAATACAGGTTAGAAATATCTTTGCCAAATTTTATCAAGATCGGTTTAGATTTGGAAATAGCTCCGATATATCAAACATATCAAATACAAGTCCGAACTTAAAAGATACAAATGCTTCGATATATTCAGTCTTTTAAACTTTAAAATATAATTATAATCATAGCTTGTATGATTGAATTCCCCCATAAAAACTTTTTTAATTGTTATGTGGAGCTTTACTAAATTAGGAAAGTGGTGTAGGGTATCATAAAGTCGGCCCCGCTCGACTTAAAGACTTTCTTTACTGGTTTTATTTGTATTAGATGAAGTATGAAAATGTAATTTTTCGGTCGACTATATGTGGCGCATTTTAACATTTTTATCACATATCTCATATAATGTGAAGGAAGTAACCAATATAGTTCAAATCCGGCCCATCGTAAGATTTATATCATATTTATTTAGGCCCGATACAAAATGGACAAATTTGGTCCATTCCTCCGGAACCTATGCCATACCTCTATCAACAATTTGAATAATCGTAACAGAAGTCAAAATATATTTAAATATTCGAACATTGGCTGAGAATGTACATCTGTAGGAAAAACCGACTGATACTTTTTCAAATTGCTATTTTTAAGTATTTTGATAAACAATTTAATTTACAGGTTTTTCCAATTTGGGCTTGGACTGCGCGTATGTTTGAGGTTTGTGGCCATATTGTTGTTCTCTGAAAATATGAAATGAAATGTGAATATAAAGAATATAGGGTAAGTGTACCAGTAGTCGGCACTTTTAGGATTTTCAATTTTTCAATCTATAAACATTCTGAGTGATATCTTTTAATTGCAGAAAAATAATGTTGTTCAGATTCCAAATTTTGTTTAGTTTTCGAAATAATTAACAAAAATTGAAATTAAATTGGCAAAATTTGCAATTTTACTAAAATAGTAGTTTTTTTTTGCCAATAGTCGGCACCATTTTCCAATGCTCGGCATTTCTATTTGACAGTAGTCGGCATATGGTATTTCAGTAAAAAAAAAATATTGTTTTGTATAGTTTTTTTTTCAAATAGTATAAAACAATGCTATATTACAAATTCACAGTTTAATCCAGAATTTGAAATTAATTTTGTTTTTAAATAGTGTTTTATTTAATTATCATTCTAAACCAAATATAGGTGGAAAATCAAGAATAGTATGGTTACCTTTAGTAACGTATAGATTTTCAATTAAAATAAAAATGAGATTAAATAAAAAAATTACCTTTCTTATATTTGGAATTTGTGATTTTTTCCTTTACATAGCCAACATTTTTTTTAAATGCCACCTCTATCTAAAACGTCAAATAGCTGATTTAAAAAAACCCACTTAATTTAGAGAAGTTGGTCAAAACCACAAATAAAAGCAACTGCCGGTTTAAAACTATTTTTTTATTTGAGTAGTTATTGGATTATTTTTCATACTTTTCTCGAGTTTTGGTGAAATTGGGCAAAAATGATATTTTTCTAGTAATCGGCACCCCCGGCGACTTCTGGCAAATCTCTTTTTTTCTGTTCCTAATGTCGGCATTAAAAATATAACAGAAAAATGCTTGATTTGTATTATTTTAAGTTATACAATGATCTTTAGACTGTTATTTACTATTATAAAATATTTCTGATTCCAAAAGTATAAAATTGAATTTAATTAAATCGATTGTTAGGTTGACACCATCACTAATTTTTTCTTTACAAACAAGCACTATCGCACGCGTTGGAAGACACTCACTGACGAAAACCGTTATTCTCTCGTAATAAATGATCGGATTGTTTTTTTTTTTTTTTAAGAAAGAGGGCAGAGAACACTGTTAACGTTTTTTGCAATTATTTCATTATTTGATCAATTCTATTCTTAGTTATCTAAGTTTACATTTCAAAACTGCCGACTACTGGGACATGCCGAACTTAGGCGCACTTACCCTATTTTTCACTTTATATATTCTTAGAAGAAATATTCAGCTCTTGGTTTTTCTCCTTCTACAATAACCTGAGAATATTTCTTATTACATATAAAATGCATAGGTATGTTGGTGTATATTTCATTTATTTATTTTTTCCACTCAACACAATGCAAATGGAATTGAGCAACATTTTTTTTTTCTGTAACAAAAATATATTTATTATGAATCACCATGTGAATGTAATCAAACCAATTATTGAGTCTAGACTAGAACAAACGCACATTGAATGAACGAACGAATGAATAATGAATGTTGTCTTCAAAAGGAACTCGTATTATTCTACGTAATAATGGAATATTCTACACATATCTATATTCTACATATGTATATGTGTTTGTACACACAATAGTTTATTTTTTAATAAAACACAAATGTTGTCTCATCACAAAGTAACAAAGAATAAACGTTCAGAACATGATTTACATCTGCATTTCATCACAGAAATGACAAAAGAGAAGTGCAATTTATTTTATTGAAAATCTTTCTCAAAAAAGAGCTCACTTTATATTAATTCATATTTTTGTATTGATTGAACAACAAATCGTGACGAAATTAAATATGATCTAGTAGACATAAGACTCTTTGCATCTTGTATTTATAAGTAATGTTGAAATGAGTGGGGAAGAAATTTCGGCGAAGGACGCAAAGTAATTTAGAAACTTTTCTTTTTCGACATTTTACATCCCCGTATATATGTTCCGCAAACAGTTTATTGAATGAAAACAAAAAATGTCGGAAATAGCATCAAATTTAACAATAAGTTTAGATTTTTCGAATTGGTCACCTTTGGCACGAATTAAACGGTCAATCAAACCGTCAAACGCTGCCCGAATGTTGCTCCGCGGACATAATAGTCCAACGGATTGGTATCCGGATATTTTGGTGCCCATTGTGCGCTGGAAATGAAGCGATGAACCTCATTTTGATAATATTCGGCATTTATTCTGATACCACGGTCGATTAATACGAGCGGAGAGCGACCATCGACTGTCTTGAGTTCTGGTGGCCAACTGAAGTTGCACATTTTCAGCTGCTTTGCTTTGCACTTTTTGAAATTTCAATGGCTTTACCCTGAGCTTATTTTTCTATATTTGCCGAATGGAATACTGTGATATGTTCAGTTCACGAGCTATTTTGCGGCCACTGCGGGTTTCGATCAAGTCGCTTCTTTACTTTTCGATCCATTTCTGCTGATGTTGTTGTTTTCTTCCGTCCACTTTCTTGACTTCGGGCTATGCTACCAGTATCACGGTAACGAACGATGGTACGAGACACAAAAGATTTATTCACATTTAAATGCTGGAGTGCTCTAACGATAGCCACCTGTGGTTTTCCAGCCAAATATATAGAATTCACGAATCATTCCATCACGAATAACTTTTTTTCTGCAAAATTCTAACCAAAAATGCTTTTGTACGCTTGTAAAACAGTATAATGAGCTGTCACTGGAATAATTTACACAGCTGTCGGACGAGTGGCTTGGAAATGACAGCAATTTGAAGTTGGTTGCATTTTTTTTTCATCTCACCCTGTATACATTCGTATGTTCATAATCTGCATAACATTCTATGTTGATTTAACGATGTCCGTCTGTCTGTCTGTTGATATTTTTTAACGTAGAACTACAAAGTTTAGCACAAAAATTTTTATTGTGTCTGGGATGGTAAGTACTGAAAATGAGATATAATGGTTCACGTTTTCCTATAGTCCCCATATGAAGGTACCCACCCCGGTATTTTGATAATCATAATCACATTTACCCATAAAATTGTATTAGAATTGGTACTTAAGAAGATGTAGTAGATAACAATCCTTGAAGTATAAAATTTTCTATATACATAGGTTCCCGTTTTCGTATGGCCTCACCTACTTTTTTTTTGAAAAGTTAAACAGAATTATCCAAACGGTCCTACTGGTATTTATAGTTTAAAGTGGAACACGTTTGAATTCAGATATTTTTATACATAATTGTTTTTATACCCTACACCATAAGGTGGCCAGGGTATTATGTCTTTGTGCATTTGTTTGTAACAGGCAAAAGGAAACGAGATAGACCCATAGTTCCTTTTGATGATCTGCATAGAATCACTTTCTGAGTTGATTTATGCATGTCAGTCCGTCTGTCCGTCCGTCCGTCTGTCCATGTATTCTTGTGAACAAAATGCAGGTCGCATTTATTATCCGATTGAGATGAAATTTTGCAAACAACATTTGTTTGGCCCAAGGACGATCCCTATTGAAATTGGAGATAATAGGTAAAAATTTAGATATAGCTCCCATATATATCTTCGTTCGATTTGCCTTTTATTGTGCACCAAACGTGTAATATCAGCCCGAATAGTATGGAATTTTGCACATACAACCAAATTAGGCCTGAAAATAAGTATGCCAAATTTTATCGAAATCGGTTCAGATTTGGATATAGCTCCCATATATAACTTCGTCCGATTTAAAATTTATTGAGCACCAAACGTCTAATATTTGTCCAAATGGGATGGAATTTGGCACATACGACCGAATTTAGTCTAGAAGGTAGTATGCCAAATTTGGTGAAGATCGGTTCAGATATAGCTATAGCTCCCATATATATTGTTCATCCGATTTGTTATTTTTGTCCTCCGCAGCCGTAATATGCACTCTGTAACAACGATATTCAGGGAAATATATCAAATACAGCTCAGAAATATCTTTGTCAAATGTAATCGAGATCGGTTCCATATATATTTTTATCCGATTTCAAATTAATTTCGTACCAAATGGGCAATATAAGTCTGAATTTAAAAGATACAAATGCTTCGGCATATTTAGTCCTTTGAATTTTAAATTATAATTATAATCATATCGTGTTTGATTGAATTCTCCCATAAAAACTTTTAATTATTAAGTGGAGCTCAACTAAATTAGCAAAGTCGTGTAGGGTATCATAAAATCGGCCCCGCCCGACTTTAGGACTTTCTTTACTGGTTTACCCTATGGTGGAGGGCATTAAAAGTTTTACCATGCCTGAATATTCTTTACCTTTCATTTACTCAGAATGTGGGGTGAAGGAGGGATATATCGGCCTACTACCTTTGGTATCTCCCCCACAAAAGGTCACAATATGCAATAACTATATTACTTGTTAAAGTATCTAAATAATTTTCTCAACCCTATCAGCATAAAATTCTATGTCGATTTAGCGATGCCCTTCCGTCTGTGGAAATCTGTGGTACCTCCATATTTTCGGTATTTTAATGATTTAAGCGACATTATTCACCGGAAATATTTAACATTTGGTATTTGAAGTTCGTAATGGATACTACAGCCCAAGACAGAAAATTGTCTGTACAGATCAACGTATTCGTATAACACCCATATAACTGTACCTCTCGATATTCGGTATTTAGACCTTAATATCGCGGCTACATTCGGTATTTTTAAAATTTTGACAGAATTTTTAACGGATTTTATTTTTACAATAATTGCCAAATTCGTACCAAATGGTGGAGCTTTTTCACTTGTTTAAAATATTATGGACTTTTTTACATTTTGTAAGTTATTTCCAAATGCCGGAGTTTATTAAAGATTTCTCTGCCCTTTTACACTCTCCTCTAACTGTCACCACACAAATCCATCTGTCACCACTACCTAGACACATAAATGTGTGTCACTTATATCATTAAGATGATTTGTGAGCACTATTCACCTCTAGACGTGTGATTTCATAATGTGTTCTACGTTAGACACGCT